CTCCACCTGTCTCTTCCCCCACCCCCCCCGTCAACCTCGAACTTCCAAAAGTAAATCTTTATGGAAAAGAAAAGGTTCTCTGACCTCTTCCAGAGGGCTCGTTATCGCTTCTAGAAGCAGGAGTCTTATAAGGCTGCGGTGAAATTTTTTTGGTGTTTGGTAGGTTCGATGGTTGGTAGGTTAACGGGAGGTGTCGTTCTGAATGAAGCAATGCGGGTGGGGGGAGGGGGTGGAAGACCGTATTCAGCAAAAAACTCATACAATAGTTAATGTGCGCTGCTTTCTATGTTTCCTGACCATTGGCGTAGATTTTTTTCAGTCAGCCACACGCATTCCTCAGCTGCCCGCATATGACCCTTCCATTGATGGTCCCTTGAGCAGGACGTGCGGTTTTACCCATTTCTCTGGAATGGGTCGGGTAGGAGCCGACGTAGTGGGTCTTTTGATCTGCTATTGTCAGTCGCGGCGAGCACTTGGTGTTCTTTGGTCTCTTCTTGGGTCGCGCCACGCATTCGGCTTCTGTTTTGGAAGCAGCAGCACTTGAATGGAGAACTGGGCTTTGTTCAGCTTGGAGTGGGCATTTCGCACTTTAGCTAGTTCCTCGTACTGGTACACTTTAACCGACAGGTCAACACCTGTAAACTCTTGGGGAGCTGCGAATGATGCACAGCCACATTATTTACAGGAATTTGCTGGTCTTTACAAGTAGCTTGTACAAACCTCACTGAATACCACTTGGTGCCCCTACCAAACGGATCCGCGTCAAAAAAATGATTTACGGGCAAGTTACCTCAAGTAATAGCGTGTGCTTGCATATCGTGTAGGTAGTTCTGGTAAATGACCTCAGAGATACAAGGTTTGACTGCTCCCAGCTGAATTTGAACCGTGCACGTTTGTTGGGCTTACCACTGCTCAACTCTGCTCTTTCTCTGTAATACGTACCTGATCCAAAATATGTGAGCGCTTGAATGAGCCATAGTCCTGCCGACCAATGAGGGCCAAGATGCTAGTCTAGATTTCTCTATTGTGTCACCCGTCCTTATCATCAGGTCCAGATCTGATTGAGTGCCATATGACGGAGCCCAAGAGGCTCCGACCGACATGACATACGCGACATTCTGATACATTTATGACAAATGGGAGATCATTCATTAGATAAATTGACTGGCACTTATAATGTTCTGCTTGGTAAGAGAAGAATGTAGCCGGGGGAGAGGAGTGTGGACCAACGAGGGATCTTTCTCCCACGTCTAAATATTCCTTTCGGCTTTTTTCCTTGATGTCGCTCACAGGGTGCAGCATCGTGATGCGTGAAATGGTGGCGTCAGTACGACCCCCTCGAAGGAGGGTCTCGGTACGACCCCCATCTAAAAGAGGGTCTCGGAATGACCTCCCCCCTCCTTCTCCAACACCTAGCTACCACTTTTCTACCAATTTCCAGCTTCCTACCAGTTTTTTCCAAAGTTCCCTCATTCCAGTTTTTCAGCCAAAATGTTCCGAGGGGGGGGTAAAGGTCGGTCGGACACCAAGTACTATCTCAACTCATGTAATTGTACTTTGTATAGAACTTTGCGAGCAGCGCCAATAGGGGGGAAGGGGGGAGAGGGTAGGGGTTTCCTAATGCGACCGCATCTTCCTCAGTCGCCAAGACGATCCCCCATGCGTTTCACACAACGATGCTGCACCCTGGTCGCTCAGTGCAGTTTGATTGTGAGCAAAGAACTGGGCTTATGGGTCGTGGTGGGTGCGATCGTTACTCAGGAAACTTTTCTCTTTTTTCTCCTCCGAACATGGAGTGCTGTTTTAGATCAAAACCTTAGGCCTCCCTGCTGAAGGATAAGCTCTCTTTTCGAGCGAGCTCGATAAATTCATTAGTGATCCAACTAAGTGAGTATTATATTTGGTGGGATCCATAGCAATAGAACTGCTCCTACAAACGTGGAAAAAGGAAGGCACCAGGAATCAAGCAGAAACAGAGTCACATCATTGCGAGGACAGATAGTGGATGGGTTCCATGCGGGTACTATCAGAACAGGAGATTCCGCGGGAGAGGTTCCGACACGCCATTTCACACATCACGATGCTGCACCCTGCACCAGGAGTAATACGGCCGGGAGGAAAGTAAGGCACCTGAAAATGCAGGCACTATTTCTAAGCTAATCCAACGATACTCTTCAACTTTTCCCTTTGAGCTCAACAGTTACGCGCTGATCATTCTTTATACCAACCCTGTTGGGCACTCCGGACCACGGTGGCATTCCGTCTCTTGATAGCGGAATACGGTGCCTCCACCTGCGAAAACTTTGGCGCCATAGGCTTTTATTTGACTTCTTCTCTGGACATTTCTGAGCCTTTCAGCTGTGTGCTGGGGCTTACTTCGCGGTGTGTAGCCCCGACATGCGTCAGTTTCTCACCATCCTGCCGCTTAAATGGCATAGTAGGAAAAAAATAAGGACTAAAGAGGTCAGTGGTCTACTCGCTGGCATCTTCGTCAGGTGGCGAGCTGCACCATACCATTTGCACCAAAACCGCTTAATCAAAGATTTCGGCTCATTTCAGAAGTATGCTCAGATCCGGAAGATTTCCATCTCTCAGTTTTTTTCAAATTCACCTTCTACTGCAACCAAGCAAGCTCTCTGGTATCTGACTTTGCATTTTCTGAAAGGAATTCATTTGACCTGTAGCCCTTATAGGGTGGCTTTTTCAAAAAATTGTATCTGTGCCATCTGAATCGGGCTCTAGCGGCTCCGTTATTTCAACTATTTGCCAGACACATGGCGCATACCAAAACCTTCACTTGTGCCGGTTTTCCTTCCTTATAAACATTGTCATGACTATCCCTATACAATCATGCGACAAATTCCTTCACTAATCTGGCGCATATGGCTAATCCATGGGTGTCTACTCGCGCTGTAAATCTCAATTGAGATGGCAGTAGTGTTCCATCTTCGAATATGATTGCTCATCGGCTGTAGTTGGTCGGTTGAGTGGCCAGAGCACTGCGAAGAGTTCGATAGCAGCCGTTCCTCTCTCACTCGAACCGAATTAGGTCAGCCTCATGCTCATCCACTCAATTTGCACCCTCAACCTCGTCCATAGCACTCGATAATGGCGCCTTGAATAACATGCCGGGGGACCGACCACGAAGTTCACTGAACCAATTCCAAGGTTCATACGCATTTGATAAAGGTTTGTAGTTCCCCGACATGCGTTTCCGTTGCGCCGGGGATACACCATGCATATGTTCTCGGTCAGAAAAGCAGCACATGGAAGTTTATTTAAGGTTTGCGAGCAGGGCAAAAAGGTGAGTCGTAGTAAAAAACGGAAGTGAGGGTAAGAAATTAGTGAGGAGATTAGATTTCTTTCATTAAATCAAGTGTTAAACAGGAAAAAATTAGGCATCCGCTCCTGGTTGAACCGTTCATTCCGTTTCCATACGGGAGGGGAAGGGTGGTTGGATGATTTCGTCTTTACCATGCCAACTTATGTACACGCCACATGTTTATCTTTTCCAGACAAATAAAAATTAATGATCGTGGAAAAATTGTGAAGGCTACCGTGACATGAGTGAGATTAAAACATGACAGAAATACCAACTACACCAGTAAGGGGCTTACAGCCCGTACTACGAATGACTCCCCCATCTCCTCCCAAGTTATAGCCTTGTTCTTACGTCGGTTTTCAGCATCTCTATTTATTTGTATGAACAATTAGTAGCTACAGTACCTCTACAGTAAAGCTCCTCTTACAGTATCTGAGGTGGAATGCATTGCGTCGTGGCACTCGCTTGGTCATACGTTCTTTGCGGCACGAGTCGGCAATCGTCGAGGAGAATCCTATCGCTTGTTTTGTGAGTTTTTCTTTCAAGACAACCAGTGTTTCCAAACTAATCTCAGCCCAGAACCATCTTTACACCCTGCCACCCCTCCCCCACTTGATCATCAAGTTCCCATGATACCGGTCCAGATCTGAGAAAGCAAAACGTATGGGTATGGCCGAGAAGCAAAAACAGTTACAATCGATGGTTTCAAAGAGCACTTAAATCAAAAGATACGGCGTTAGGCTTGGGAGGGTCTTTTTCTGGTTCCTGTTGAGTAGCAGGTCTCTTTCTGGCGAGACCTGTTTATACCTGCGACGCTGCGGAATGGTACGAGTGAGCCACTTTCCTCACAGCGATTTACGGATCTTCACAAGGTGGCTTGTACAGACTTCGATGGGTACCACTTGTTGCCCCGACCAAGCCGAATGTTCTGAAGGCGCTTAATCAAAAGCACATTCCGCAGTCATCAGATGGGTAGAGAAATGGACAAGAACCAATAACCACTAGGACTATTTCCATATTGTACGCCTCTCCTTTCGATAGGGTAAAAAGGTGGGCTGTGCGAGTGGGGAAGTCTCCGCCCATCAGGTAGGCGCAGAATGTGCTTTCGAGCGTCGTTTTGGATTGTCCTGAGAAGGGGCTGCTCGGCTTGGGAGGAGGTTTTCTCGGTCAACTGATAATAGTGCAGTCAACATAGATTTCCCAGTCTAGAAAACCCCTCCCTCCAGCGTCTTTTTGTAGCTAAATGCCCCTCTGTTCGGCTATATTTGACAAGTGTTTGACAAATATTGTTGCAGATAGTGGACCAGTCGGGTACATCAGGTCGGATTGGCATCTCAGCCGATGCGAGTTGTCAGGAATTAACTCATATTGGTGCGGCTACCACTACTCTTCACTATAAACAAGGTAAATAATTACGCATGGTAACACATGAGAGGTTCCGCTATCCTGGGCGCGTTGTGTTGCGTCGCGGTTGCTGTCTGAATAACTGAAAAGAAACCGGAAATTTCGGCCAATAAGCAAAACCGTTACCTTTGTCAAAAAGTGCTGTTGAATAGAGACTGCGACTCGACCGCACGCCTGTTTCCCGCGCCTTAGCCTGCATAGAATCATCCAGAGGAAATTAATCGAGTAAATCTTCCAGATCACAAAATTCACTCTCAATGCGACTTCCCGGACTACATGCACGCCACGCAGGGACCACATCGACAAGCGTGGGAGTCGATCGTCACAGGGCGACGGAATGTTATTCAGGATGGTGAGTGTATTTGAATTTTACCAATCACTTTAAAAGGGCACGATCAGAGACTAGTCAGAGTTATTTGACCCTCCAGATCTGTTTGCCGTCGTGATAAACTCACAACAACGGCTCTGTCCACGCTGATCATATAGGTGGACACCGTCATCCATTGTCTCTGCCCATTTGGCGCTCCTCTCCTATTTGTCTTGTGGGCATAGAAGGCGTTCCTGTTTATAGCGGAGACCACGTAATCTGCCTGTTTGCCGTCCCACAAGCGATCAGCGTGGACCATGTTCTTGAGGTAACAGTCCACGCCGCTTGATGCTGTGTGGTAGATAAATAGAGACGAATGTATACGGTGACTGGATTTCCTCATACAAACTGCGTAACGACACAGTATGGACGTGTTTGGAAAGTCGACGTCATGAGCATTTCGTAGCCGTACGGGCACATGTCCGGCGAGGATGTCAGACGGGCTATCAATGTGTACAGGTGGGCAAATCATCCGCTTTTCCAAAGCTTGAACGCGATGTTCGGGATCGATTCCTATGCAATGTATCCTTTAGTTTCGCCGCAGGCAGTCGGCGCATTTGGTGCAGGCTGAAACTTCGGTCAGATCAGCCTCAACGAATATGAGGACTGCTCGGAAATGACGGTGGAAACACGTGACACACTAGTGCTACAAGGAGCGCAGGTGAAGTTTAACCCATACTCAGTACCCAAAGCAAAATCAAGGGAAACTTTCGTCGATTAGCTGTTGGACAGCGGGCTGGGCGCTCATATAGATAATTGCTCGGTCAACGAAATTCACAACCGCAAAATTCGCCTGTTACCGCGAGCGCTACACTCGAGCTACCGTTAGTTGTGGCCAGGGAAACCTATAGGATTCAAATTGCCTGCTCGGCAAACGAAAATTGGACAGTTCTCTTGAGTTCTCTGGAAAGTGCACGGAATTTTCGAGGGCTGAGTCAGGTGCGACGGTACGCATAGTCAATCCTTAACGTCTATAAGACTCCAAAGAGAAAGTGCAAAGGCGCTGTTCATCTCCGAGGGGGCATTCTACATTTTCATTAATCCCTCTTGCACTTTGGTTAGACCTGTTAAATCTTGTTAAGCTGCCAAATTGCTCAATTGAGCCAGTTCGATCACAGGAATTTGCAGGACGTTACAAAGTGACCTGTACAATAATAGTTGAGTACCATTTGGTGCCCCCACCGAGCCAAACCACGTAGAAACATTCGTAGAAAAGCTTTTAGCAATTCGCCAGACATCATCAGAATGGGCCGGGCTGTCGGAGAAGGGGCGCAAGGGGTCGAGAAAAACTTTGAGAGACGCTACGCGTCGGATTGAGCGTTTCTCGGAGGGTATTTGACAAGACGATCACATTATGGGCGTGGCGAGCGACATTGCGCTCGAAAGACTAGTTGTCCTGTCTGGCCTTCGAACTTTAGTGTTAAAGAAACAAAAACCCTCGATATCACCGTCGGGAAATCTTGTCGCCGCCCAAATCCGTATGAATTCCAGTCGACAGCTGATGCACATTAAGAATATGTCGCGCATCGCCGCACTACACGCCGCGCGCGACGACGCAACTGATCACGATTTTCTTGTCCGTCTCCCTTTCACAGAACATGTCGTAGAGTGGCTCTTTCGGAAGGATGGACTATTTCATGCGGCCGCCGAGCGTCAGAAAGTTCCAAATAGTGAAATAAACTCAACAAAATTAGCCCGGCAGGAAATAATTCTTGAATCTAAACCATTTCAGGAAGAATGTCCTCTACGTGGTCGATACACTGCACTGGCCTGTCAACATCCGTT